CCACCACCACCACCACCACCACAACCACCACAACCACAACCACCACCACCACCACGACAACCACCACACCCACCACAACCACCACGACCACGACCACGACCACGACCACGACCACGACCACGACCACGACCACGACCACGACCACCACCACCACCACCACCACCACCACCACCACCACCACGCCGTCGGCATCAGCACCACCACGCACCAGAACCAAAACACACCAGCACCGCCATACCACCACCGCCGCCGCCACAACCAGCACCGCCGCCACCCAAACATACCCCCAGATAAACTTCCCGTAGTGACGTAGTGGGCCTGGTATTTCAGCAAACCCAAATAGTTCAAAACATGGTTACGCCAATTAAACAATAGCATTGCCCCTTGACTTCCAATACTTAATCCTCTAACCTATTAATCGGACTTGGGGCCCATTCTATGGTTTAGATGAAGAGGGTTGCCTCTCCTCCTGTTTATTTGGTCCCAATGAATTGTAGAATGGGCACCTGGTTTCAGTTATTTCGCTTGAATTACTAAAGCCTGTTGTGCTGTTTAAGTTCTAGAAAGCACTTGAACGGCTTCAACCAATCGAAGTGGTACCTTTACCTGAATTACGTTAGTGAACTTCGAACATGGATGCGTGGAAGGGGTCTGCAGCATATATATGTGCCAAGGACTTTCTAGAGAGTCTGCCAGCGGCAATCCTGGAAGGAGTTCATTCCCTCATGTTCTCCCATGCAGATGAACGGTACAGCAGAAGAAACCTGCTTCGGAAAGCATGAACTAAGACGAAATGCACTCGTTCACCATACTTGCTCTTAGTTAAACCAAAGAATCATCTCGCAATCAAGAAGGAAACTGGAGATTTACCTTGTTTGAACTGTGGATTTGATCTTGAATTTTTCCTTGCGGGGATGAAAGAGCACTTGTCCATTCTCATTATATTCGATGCGTTTCCATTACATACAAGGGAACAGTTCAAGCTCCAAAGCTGAAAGCTGAACTTCTGCGACAAAAAAAAACACCAGCAAGGAACTGGACGTCTACTTCTCTCAAGTCAGCTGGGATTCTCTTGTATCTTTATACCGGAGAGCAGGCGGGAAAATGAAGTGCTTGGCGGGGCAAGGTTCTGAGTGCAGGAATGCCGTTTGATGGGTTTGTGCACTGCTGCAGCATTGAAGCGTACCTTTACCTTTTCCGCAGCTGAAAAATATCAAAATGCTGCGGTCTCGAACCCGCCTCAAACCACCTTGTCATATGTTTTTGCGTCATTTCCCCGTTCCTGATGAGCGCTACGATTCCACGCATGGGGCCTGAACAATCGCTCGAACGCAGAGTCATGACTGGGCCGGGAGAAACATTCCATGCCGTGATCTGGTTGCGCAAGGCGTGCAACATCACTAGGCATCGCCGAATTGTGTAGCAGAACTCTCGCTGCTCTGACACGAGCCGCATCGAGCCGCGCCTTTCCGACCACTCAGTTGGCTCAGGTACCTGAAAAGATAATGAAAAACTAGCCAGAGGCGGCCAAGCATGGCCAGGGTTTGACTGAGCTGCTACCAAGCAACGCCACCGGGCAGGATTTTCAGAACTACAGCATGTCCATTGCCTAAGGGATGTGGACCTGGACAGCCCTAGCGAATGCTGCTGCAAAGACATCAAGATGCCGTTCGTCCTGTGGGTCGCACAAATCACCATTCCCATCCTGTTGCGTACGTTTGCGTACCACGCCCTTTAGCATGATTGCATGTAGCCATCATGTATATTGCATGTAATCGCTGTATGTTGTGAAAGTACAGGTGTCCTGTCTTGCTCGCTGCTGCGGGAGAGAAGGATGTCAATATGCGCCTGACCTCAGCAATCATGCCCATGCTGGAGCACGCCAGCGGCGGAACCAATGCACACCGAGAAGCGCGTGCATCCAACTGGTCGCCAGCGTGCTACAACCAGTAAAGGTGAGGAGGAGTGCAGGCCTTTTTGGACCTGAGACTGCTCACTGCCACTAATGGTCTACTTGCAGCATAACGCAAAACGAGTCTGCAGTTTCCAAGTCTGATATTTGTGACCCTGAAGTCTTTAGGAAGCTGCACCACTAGCCCCTCTCTTGCCCCATTCAGTTCTTACAACCCTCTTGTGCTGTTCTACAGCTAGGAGGGTCGGAAAAGCCTTCAGGAGGCTTCCCGAGACAAAGATAGAGGACCACTAAAGGAGGTGAGACGAAAGTTCGTTTGTCTTTGCAACTTGAGAGAAGGAAACAAAGAACTTGCTTGATGTGCTCAAGAGGGTCACCAGAGCGAACGCGCGCCGCGGCACGTTGAAGAAAGGAACCACAGGCATTCTACATGCATCAACTCCACAACAACAAGCGTGAAATGCTCAACCATCGGGAGTGGATGCGCCACCGCTGCGAGGAAGCATTCCAAGCTTGCTACAGGAGAGAAGGCATAGAGGAGAACATGCCAGTTTAAGAACCTTCATCTATAAGAACTCGGTAGACATCAACCAAGTCTTGAGAAAGCACAGTACTTGATGATCGACGCAGAGCAGCGGATCCGCACGTGTCAAAGGGCTCCTCAGGTCCTAGCTCCGCCAGCACTTTTCAAATGTTTTTGTGTGAGGAATTGAAGTGCAGTGACGAACATCCCCGGGAGCTCACATAAAAAAAGGCAAACACAGAGAAATCGCCGTAGAACGTAGCTGAAAAAACATCATCACAAGCGGGACGCCTGCCACCTACTGCTGCACTAGCACCACTACCCCTACCACTACCAGGGCTTGCTACACCTTTTACTTCGGCAAGAAGGCGCAGCTGGCGGTCAGCCTCATCCCAGGCTCCTCCCGAGCTGCTCTGATTATTCTGATTGTAAACCCAAGGAGTTGCGTGGTCAGGATTTCGAGGTCATCGATAAAGGGAGGCTGATCCAGCCTCGCTTAGATTCTGGACCAGGGCTGCTCCTTTTCGAGTGGCACGTTTACAACTGCGCTTTGCTGGGAAGTGTACTTAACTTCATCTTTCCATCAGAGCCGCGATAGCTCAGTTGGGAGGGCATCAGACTGAAGTTCCATGCCTGGAAAGCTCGCAAGCACTTTTTTTGGAACCCAGGCTGGACAGCAACTTGCACTTGAAATGCCAACAGTGTCTTCTACAAGCAACGCCCTCAACACCATCCTGCAAATTGCCTGGTTGCTGCTGTTTTTGAATCCGGTCATTCACGGAGCATGGGCTTGGGCACACGTTCCTGGTGCTGCTGCTCAAGGGCGCAAGATCCACATCAGCGAGTTTATACAACAGGTGTGGAGTCGCTCCTTCAAAGACTCACAAAGTCAGTAGAGCAGGAAAGTCCAGTCAGAATGGCAAGATGAAACGTCTCAAAACCGTTCCAAAGCCTAAGCCAAAGGAAATTGAAAAGGCAAGGACAGGCACAGGGCCAAAAGCGCACGGGGAGACAGTGCTTTTGGGCTTTTGGGTAGAGGAATCTGAAATCGATCTCGCAACATCTCGCAACTGCAGAATCCGACAAGACTGGACTCTTCTCGCAAAATTCTACAGCCAAAAGGAACTTGTAATCTTGTTCTATGCTTCTTCTTCCCCCTATTTAAAGCGCTGCAAAGATGGCTGGGCAAACTGCACTTCCTTTACGGGAAGCAGGCGTTTCTGGAAAGCACATCCGCTAACGAATCCGTTGAGACGTCTGACTACGCATTCGGCACATGGGCACCGGCAGTAAT